GGGGGTGTTTTGGGGTGGGCGGGGGTGGGGCACCCCCGCGGCGGGGGTCCGGGGGTCAAACCCCTACCCCGGCTTTGCCCCCGGGGGCCCCCGCGTGACAACCCTGACGTACACACACCAGGGCTGCATACCCGGTCCCACCGGGGCCTCCTCCCCCCACCGGAACCCAGCCGGTTCTACCGGGCGGTAGACTGCACCGGTTCCCCCCCCGTCGCCGTTTGCGCATTTCGATTGGGCGGGGGGTTCAAGTTTTTTAGGGGCCAGGAGGCCTCCATGCGGGTCAAGCCTCACGGCCCCCCATAAAAATGAACCAGTTCCGGTAGGGCCGCCCGATTGTTAAAAAAATGGCGGCCTATCTGGACCGTCGATCTTCTGAGATCTGCGGCCCAGATAGGCCACTGGTGTTTGAACATTCAAGCGGGAAACCGCCCGTACATCGGCCTACCCTCCCCCCCCCTCCAGCCTCCCACCACTTCGACACTTCGTCGAACGTGAACGAAGTCGAGACTTCGTCGGCCCCCCCGTTTGCTCCCGCCTCCGTGTAGTCGCCATCGCCTCGCCCCGCCGTCGAGCTTCCCCTCTACCGGTAAGCTACTTCCTCTGCTTTCTCTAGTTCTTCTTCTTCTTCTTCTTCTGGTAGAGCCAAACTCAACTTCGCGTAGTATTTCGATTTCGAGCGCTCGCAGAAGTTGATGGGGCGCGCGGAATTATGCTCTGCGTTGAGAGAGAGAGACAGAGAGAGAGAGAGAGAGAGAGAGAGAGAGAGAGAGAGAGAGAGAGAGAGTTTGGGCGCACGAAGGTTAGTGGGCGTGTGGAGGCTGGTGGGTGGAGGTTAGTTGGTGCACGCGGATGTTAGCCGGCGCATGGAGATCAGTGGGCGCACACACACACACACACACACACACACACACACACACACACACACACACAGAGAGAGGTAGAGAGAGAGAGAGAGAGAGAGTTTGGGCGCGCGGAGGCTGGTGGGTGGAGGTTAGTTGGCGCGCGCGAAAGTAAGCCGGCGCGTGCGGCACACAAAAAAGAGAGAGAGAGAGAGAGAGAGAGAGAGAGAGAGAGAGAGAGAGAGAGAGAGAGAGAGAGAGAGAGAGAGAG